TAGTGACTTACTGCTTCTGTTCTGGCTTTCCAACTATTTAGGTGCCCATGACCATTCCAGCCACATTGTGTTTTCCAAGCAATATTGAAAGCATGTCTATGATATGACAATAGATAGTTTTGATAAGACGGAAAGCCATTACACATGCTATTGCCTTTGCAAAAGACCTTCTGAAACTGGGTCTGGTCTTGTTATTCAGCACTCGGTGCTATCCAAACTAGACCAAAAGTGCTTCAGACAAACTGCAGAAAAATTGTTCTTAACACATTCTTAATAATCCTTTCACAGACTGGTCAATAATCCAGTTGCATGTCCCACTGTTCTCCCAAGAGAAGGCTCTTAGTTTCAATCTGAGGAATGGTTCTAATGTGTATTTGGCCTCATATTAGGGCATTAGAGAGAGAGCTGTGCACCAAAGGTCTTCTTACAAAAGGAAATATTGACACTTGAATAAATAAGAACATGTAAGACTTTCCATAGAAGAAGAAAAAGAAGTGTGAATAAACAGGGAAAAGAGGAATGGGGAGACTTCAGTTTTATTTCCTGAAGGCTTCTTGAAGTTCTGAGATTGCAGTTTTCTAAAGATGAAAGAGAGCTCTGACATTCCCAATAAAGACCCACTCATTCAAAACACTCTCCTGAGGGGAACTGGCCATGTGGCCTGGGGAACTTCCAGCACAATTAAAGGCAACCAAACAATTTGGAAAACTGACCATCTGCATGTTAGCAGTTGAGTCTAAGTCTATAAGATACTGAGTACACCTAAGAACTCATCGTCAATCCTCAGACTTTGATACGGAGGACACTGGATGTGCTTTTACCTACTCTTGGCTCTGCCATCAGGCTGCAGGTGGCTCTTCTTAGAGGACCTTCGTAGTGTTTTGAGGAGCAATGTTTGTTGCATCCTAAGGGGAGTCGTTATTAACCTAGATGAAAACAAGTGCCTAAGGATCGGACTGAGGGGCAGGGCACCATTAACTACCACAGAACTCTCAAACAGGAGTGCATTTTCTCTCCTCTGACCTACTTAACAGCTTTAACAGGGTGGCACTATCTTTCCTTGTCTGTATGTACATCAGATAGTTTTTCTTATAATATTATTGGACCAGCTTCAGGGTGGGGAAGCTTAAAATACCCCTGTATGATGAATATTTTTATTAAATTATAAAATGCAAAATTCAACTGAATTGAATTGAATAGCATGTCTCTCTGCTAGCACAGACTGTTTATATACTAAAATTCTACAGTGAAGGTCTGTGACTCATAAGGTAGGTGGCATCCTTCCACGTTATGCTAGAAATGTTACATTGTTATATTTGCTATAAAATAGAAGCTGGGAGTGCTATTTCAGTATTTTTTAATAATAAGAGTTTTTGTCTTCACTGTATATGATTTTCCTATTTTTAAGTTTGGGAAGATATTATTTAAACGAGGCATACACATTAAAAATAAACATGCACCCATAAAGCCTCGGACAAGTTAACAAAAATCTGATCAGTGTCATGGTTGCTGTTGAGTGGAGTGTCAGCAAAGGCAGTGAGATCACCACAAATCAAGTTCACCATTAGCTTTTAGACCATACAAATTCCCCAGAATTGACTGGAAAGTCCGGGAATCTCTTCATCTTGGTGAATGTCAGCTGGCTTAAACATTGCAACACAGTATGCCTTGCTGATTGAAAACTTGGAACAAAGACACCCACGGTTCACCAGTTCCCAGGCTCTCCAGTCAGCCTGTTGAAATGGTCCAATAAGAAAACTTGAATGCTGAGGGCATCCAGCAAATTTGTAACAGTTGGTAACACACATTAATATTTTATTTCTGCACTTTACTCTAGGTTCTTCTGTTTCTGAGAAATGCTGGCAGAAATGCCATTCACCCAGTAGATTTACCAGGTGGAATATAACTGAACTGTTTCTGTCAACATGAGAGGGAGCACAGACACATCTATCAAATTGACACAGTCCCTGCACTTGATGAGCTCAGTGGAATGAGTCTTCCACCTCCAGTTTTTGTAATGCCGATGAATGATGAATCAGAGATATTTTTGACATCTGAAAGCAATTCAAGGTGAGAGAATCAAAAGACTGGTATTTGCCAGTCAGAACTATAAATAAATTTTTCAGCACTAAGACTCCTCCAAAGCTATTTAAATAGGCTAAGATTTTATGGATTGCTATTCCCTAAGGAAAGGAATGCTATCTGTATTTTAAAGTGTGTCATTTCTTCATAGATGCAGTCATGCAGACAGCAGGTAGGACTTTGGCTTCCTTCATAACCACAGTAAATCTATCCTTGCTCCTTATGCTACTTGATAGGATTTTGAGACCTGACCCAGTGTTTTCTGGTTTTAGAATTAGAGGAATTAATTAGGTTGATGGGATATTTTGCAGTGAATCATGTTCTTAGAAAGGCTAATGAGTCAAGCTATTAGCTATTAGTATACATTTACTTGATGACTAGGTATATACTCTAACTTGAAGTCACACAGCATTTCAGCAGAAAAAGTGGCTCGTGATTACTATATGAATTACTAATACGTAATTGTCATTTACAGATAACGACATATAAAGTTTTCTGTATGTGATGTGAAAGACAGCAAATAACTTGAAAAAAAAAATGGAGACTAGCCTCTATTTTCAGACACAACAATATCAGCAATATTGGTAACATTAGCAGTTTGGCTGGACTTACACAGATCAATATGAGAATGTTTGAAGACCTCAATGGATTTTAGCACTTCTGAAGGGTACAGGTTAAATGTGCAATCAGCCATATTTCCACTAAAGCAAACAAACAAAACTAACAGTGACGTAGCCAAATATTCTTTGTTGATCTATGATAGGATCTAAAATAACATAAAAAGTAAACTAGATATAAAAGCAAGATTTAAATGGTAAATGACAGTAAGGGGAAGTGTTTGTCTTGTATGCTATAGTAATGGTACATTCTGCAGAAAGCATTTTTTCTCTCTGACAGAACATTTAACACATCAATAGTAAAACATATTCTGGGACATTGTGTGGACAAATTCTACAGATGAAGTATAGTGATTTTGATGGAGTTGATTTACACGAACACAACCAAGTCTAGGATACTTTTATAAAGGTCAGATCAGAAACATGACTGATCATATGATCGGAGAATGAAACAAAGGAATAAATATTTTACTGTCCTGTTCACCTTTCTATAAAATATGAATAAACCTTCAAAATACATTATGTGAACAGACAGAAGAGCAACTGCCATGTCTGAACTTCTCCTGTAGTTATTGTAAATCCAATCTTGATCACTGCTAAAATATATGTATATGGTGAGCGAAGAACTTCTTTAAACCTCAATTTCCAGAGAAGTTCCTGACAAGAGAAACCAAAAGACCAGAGATAATTCCAAGCAGGAACTGCTCATCCTCTTTCTTGAAATGTTCAGTCTCAGGGAAATGTTGAATAACCACATTCTCCTCTTTACCTGCTTGGTACTGAAAAAACACATGCATGATCTAGCACAGTTATGAAAGACCTAGTCTTTTGTAAGGAGGGAGCCAAAACAAATACTCACTTCAAAGCATACTAAATTAAGGTAAATTCTTTCATCATTCATGTGCAATAAATAATACTATTCTATCAACTGATGAGTGAGATGCTACCCATTAAATATGAATGGCAGAATCAACTCTATAGAGAAAAAAGGAGGATATTTTTGTTGATACATCATTTCACTGACATTGGTGTACATGCACCTTTTTTATGTATATCGTTAAAATACTGGCAAAGAAACCACCAAGGATGTAAAAAGCAACAGGGTGAATGCAGGTGACACTGTTTTGTAATGCCCACAACATATTTAAGCTATTCTTTGTGAATACATTCTTTAATCAATTTACTCAGCTTTTCTATCTGCAAAGTACTTTTGATTTAATCATGACTTTCGTTGCATGTTTACTATTCAGAAAACTTATGTGAATTGAAGTCTGCCTGGGAGAACTATTCTTCCCACTTCTTTCTTTTGTTATTTTTTTCCCCATGGATATCTGCCTTTATTAAAGAAATAAAAATAATTTTTTGATTTGAATGAATTAGAAACAAATACATTATATATTTGTCCATGGATAAACTGACATTTCAGGTGCATACAGATATTCACATGAAAAAAGGAACTATAAAATAGTTATACAGAGAAGGGAGCATTTATGTGATCAGGGATAGAAATAAATCGTTATTAGACAGAATTATCACATTTGTAATTATCCTAGAAAATTTAATGATAACTAAGTCAAATTCATTTCACCTAGCTTTAGTTGCCTAAATGATGATGTGTAGTCTAATGCAGTCTTCTTAAAGTCAATTAAATGAGGAAGACACTCCCTGTTCTTGAAACAGAGGTCTATGGTGGATGAAACAATTGCCCTTCTGTAGATGCGTCTTTTTCTCTGTTGCCTGTTGAGGCAGGCTGGATCACTATCTTAAACTGGAAAACTAAAGTTAGGTCAGAAAATTCAGTCAAGTCTCACTTTAGGGAATTTCAAAAAAAGTTAAGTGCACGTCACTGAGATAGAACTGGATCTCTGATCTATTTTACCTGTGCAACTAAGAAATGTAAGTAATCCCAAACATGGATATCTACATGATCAAGCCAGGTTAAAGATCTTCAAAACAGCACGTCCATGATATATGTTGATGATCTATGTCCATGATATACAGTGGGACTCTAGCCATATTATCTTACCCCCAGTGCAGACAGCATATTGGCACATATTACTGAAGACATGCCATAATACTGCTCATCATGGCAATTCTCTTTGGCTACAGAAGTCATAAAATGACCTTCTATCAGTCCTTTTCTGCTTTAAGACTCATGGAGGTTTAGAGGGGCTCTCAGATGCCCCTTACTCCTTGCACAAGATTACACCTGTTGTGCAAGGGAAAATCTTTATTACAAATAATTCTACCAAACTCTCAATGCTCCTGTGGTTCCACTTTTTGATACTGCGTTTATCTTACCTTCTATCAGCTTCCCCGTCTGCTCTGCATTGCCCCCAGGCAAGATCTTGGCAATGTAAGCTCCAATTTCCCCACTGCTTCCTGGAATTTCTTTCCCACCTACAACTCGGATTCCCAGTCCATTGCCTGTTATCAAAAGAAAGAGAAAACTTTAAACAGAGATGAAGCAATGAATAATTCACTGGAAAGAAAGGAAGAGAACAACTCATTGGAGGTTACTGAAGGATGTTACCAATAACTTCTGGCTATGATTGGAAGATTAAGGTTAACTGCAGTCCCATCTCTCACTTTCCCAAAGACTTAACTTTGGGTAGAAGTAAAGGAAAAGATCTTAAGTAACTACTGTATGAGTGACATAACACAAATAACTGATTCATTAAAAATTACACTGAAGCCAATCCTACCTTCTTCTGACAGTCTTACTGTACTGCAAAGGGACTATTTGCATGGCAAACCTATTTCAAGCAAACCATAATTTGCAGTATTAATTAAATTGCATTATATTGCTAGAAATCCATGTGAAGTGTGGATTCAAAGGATAGCTTTATCATATGCCTAAAACATGCATGCAATTTAGCTGAAAAATTATAGCAGCTGAGCTTTTAGAATCACATAAATATGGAGACAGACAGAGATCATTGAGCTCCAGCAGCAAAGCATGTACATTTACATGAACCTATATTTGGCAGATGCTATTATTTTTCTTAAATATTTGCTTTTAATTGACATCTTTTACATCAAAGGATGTACAAATTATCAAAATGGAAAAAAAGCCTACGATCAGTCTGTGTAAAGCTTCATCAAATATAACATATTTTCTCCCTTTATTAAAAATTACAAAGATGAAAACATTTTGATCATTCCAATTATTTTAGGTGGAGAGAAGCAGATCACTAATCTCCCTCATGTACAGAACAATGAGAGTGAAAATAAAAGCTTAAAAAATAGTCTCATAAAGATAATCTTATGCATTACCAATTTTTCATGGTATCTTACTTTTTTCAAAAAAAAGTCTTTTTTCCCACACAAGAAAAACAAATTTTGTCTTTGAAGAAAAAGAAAACTTCGTATGAGATAATTCACACTTTGATCTGAGAATGTAAAGGCTGATTTTCCCACCTTTATTGTAATGGCTAAATAATTAATTTTCAATTTATTAATTTAATAAGCTGAATCTGCTGAGTGATTAGATTAATCAGTTATAGGAAGCTCACCACACAATCTCTTTGCAAAGCTTTATCTTTCTAGATTAAGGTTTTCCTCATAATGCTATTAGTGTTTGTTAAGTCAGCCCTGAGTTTGTTTAAAAAGCAAGATAGCCACATTGAGTTTCTGGCCAAAAAAGTTTCCACTAGTTTTTCTATCCTAGTTTAGCTGCTAGGTTTAGTTCAGACATAAGGAAGAAATGTTTTATGATGAGGGTGGTGGTACACTGGCACAGGTTGCCCAGAGAAGTTGTGGATGCCCCATCCCTGGCTGTGTTCAAGGCCAGGTTGGATGGGGCTTTGAGCAACCTGGTCTGGTGGAAGGTGTCCCTGCCCATGGCAGGGGGGCTGGAACTAGATGACCTTAAGGTCCCTTCCAACCCAAACCATTCTATGATTCTATGATTCAGTGACGGGGTGACCACTGGTAATGTGCTATCAGTATACAGAACTTTTAGTGAATGATTTCAGTGTGGGCTGTTGGCCAAGGATGAGTTTCAGGGGTATTGTGGGAATAAGTCATGACATGGGTGAGGGCTAGTGTATGACAAATGGTATGATAGACCTTGAGTTTTTAACAAAGGATGATGAAGACTCTTTGCAGGCCAGTTCTTGTACTGTTTATCGACCACAGTGCGTAACAGGAGAAATTGATTTTGGTATAGTACTACTGGGAGTACAGGTAGGAGTTTTGTACGCATACATTGAACATAATTCACCTGTAGATTATATTTATATCCAAGTTTGAGATAAAGTTCAGATCTGTCATATAAACCCATTCCAGAGTCTGTATTTTTGTTTTACTTATTGGGCGATATTTAGTCTTGATACTTTCAGAACAGATAAGAGATTTAGGGAATATATAAACTCAACCCTATGACAACATGAACAATAACTCTGTAAGTTACAACTGTACAGAGGTTTGATATGGCAAGTATGTCCTCCCAAGTTTACTTTTTTTTTGTCCTGTGCAACTTTGCCAGTTCAAAAACCCACTATGAAACGCTGTGCAGGCATGTCTAAGTACCGTCAGCAGGAGCTGTGAATACTCAGATGATAGCATGAAATTTGCTAGTAAGTTCCTTGAATTTTTTGCTGAAAATTTTAGCCACTTTGGCTCTTCTCTGCATGTTTGTCTTCTTCTTTGTAATTTGAAGACCTGAGCAACATCTTTAAGAAAGTCAGCTTCTTGTAAGACTTTACACCTGGGAATGTAAAGTAATGCAAATGTAATGCAAAAGAATGTTAATCTTTTTAAGCCTTTTTTTGGACATGACAAGTGAACAGTTGTCTCTTCCTCTTTTAACAGCAAATTAGGAATTGGAAAAGTATAAATATTTCAGCTTGAGGGGGCCCCTCTAGAAAAAGTAAAGGGACCCATATAATAAACGCAAAATACCACTTAGATACCCAAGCTAATTACAGGCATGGGCAATATAGTTAAATTTCTGCTACAAGATAAATCCATCATGGTAGTTAATATTCCTTTAATTATAAACTTGCTATGGATGATAACTGATTAGCTAAACATATTGCTTCTTGGCTGGTTTCTAACACAAATGATTTGGTATACAGAAAGGATGCTGTGTTTTAAACAATAGCTGTATCGGCACTCTGGGACTTTGCTATGGGAAATTCTAAGATTATTTTTGTTGAGGAGAGTAATCTTTCAGTGTAATTGGAACAAACTGCATAGTTATTTTAAATTAATTACCTTATTTCAGTGCAAATATGAAATTTAGCACTAGTAAAGTTTATTTTTCCTGACTCGATAAGGAAAGCAAACCCACCATTCTAAGGATGGGTCTAAATGTCCTTTACAAAAGTTGAAAAATACAGTCTTTAAAAAAAAACAAAAACCACCTCATTGCATAAAGCAAATGCATACCCCTATAAAAGCATTTAAACATTAGTCCATCTTTAAGACTTAAAAATTCATGTGGGCTGCTCTGCACATTTACCAGAGGACTTCTGATCAAACACTATTGAAAGACTCATTAAAATGTTACAGATCTGAGGCTCACAACAGGGAACTATTAAGTTCAGCAAATCCAATGAACAACTATTCTTAGTACACAACACACACAAACAAGCACACAGTAACTTACTCCCAACCCACACAGTCAACATATGGACTTTTCAATGTATCAGTAGGACTGGATGCTTTTCATCACATAGGGGAGTAACTCTACAGGGTCAGAGTTTTCTCATGATACACTATACTAGTATCTCTACCTCTGATAGCTTAATTGTAACAGAATGGCAAAGAGGTGTTTTGCCATATAACTGAGTGTATAAGACACTTGATTTCAGAGGCAATTCTATGGATACCTATGCTAGATAACTCTGAAAATTATGAATGACATATTGGTTCTGATTTTGCAAAACTAAGGTGTTCGTCCATATTACTGCTACTAAAATCAATTATTTTCCATGCTAATATATAAAGATTTTTATTCCCAGACTCTTTGAAAAGGCTTGTGATTTTACGTTTGCAGATTTTAGAGTCAAATGTGTGACTGACATTAAGTATGCAGTAGGAGCATGCTTGCTAAGGGACAACCACAGGTGGATGTGTGAGTGCGTGTTAGCACATGTTCTTGTTGCTGGACAAAGCAGGGGGTATTTCATTTAATTTGATCTGTTTGCACTAAATTAGAAAATTGTATTCCATTATTACTATGTTGCAAAAACATTACTAGAATAAATATTTCAACTTAAGTAACAACACATTCAATTCCTGGCAGTCAGAATGAGTTACTTTTTGCCCAATGAGCTCTAAGTGCTCTGTTCTGGCTGACAAAGAAATATTACTTGGATGTTGCTGTATTTTCTCATGTGAAGATGGGATTTCAGACCTGGTTTTACTGTATCTATTGAAAATATTGAGTTTACTACTTCTGTTTGCAATGACATTGACCAATTTACCACCTTGAATGAAGATAGTTTAAAAATATCATCAATCATATGCTTTCTCAGATCTTTCTCAGATTTTTTTTTAATTTTTGAGTCTTAATTTCCATCTCTCAGACTATTTTGATATAACCAGACATTCATCTTTCAACTTTAGATTTTCAGATTAATGAACTGCTGTTTTCTTCTTTAGAAGACACAGGACCAGTTAACTGTCAGAAAGCGAATCACTGTACTTTGAATGAGAGAGGGCACCTTTCTGAACTCTTGAGTATTGATTTCTATGGAAAATCTCTTCAGGAAAACATCTCTTCAAAGGGAATTTTACACATTTAAGATCCAATCCTTTTTAGGATGCTTCAAAGCTAGAAGACTGCTAATTAATTGCAACTGTTTTTACTGATCTCCCAAGGCTGTGATCCTACTCTTCTATCTAATCTTAACTAAAGCCTTAAGATGCAGCATGCTAAGCAAAAAAAAAAAAAAAGCCCCCCCAAACCCTCACAACCCAAAACCTAAAAAACCTAATGCTAAACTAATGCACTCACACATCCACCTGTGGTTGTCCCTTAGCAAGCATGCTCCTACTGCATACATAATGTCAGCAAGACAGATCATGCAACTAAATTGGTTTTATACTTTGATAAACAAATATGGATACTAAATCATTACAGTCAGCTTTTGAGCCACTGATTAACACAGTTGAAAATACAAACTTAGAAGCTTTAGGTCACCTGCCTAGTGGATGAAGGGAAGGTGGGGGATGTAGTTTTTCTGGATTTTAGTAAGGCTTTTGATACTGTCCCTTACAGCATCCTTCTGGACAAGTTGTCCAGCTGTGGGATTAGCGGGTTCACGGTGTGCTGGGTGAAGAAGTGGCTGAAGGGCAGAGCTCAAAGTGTTGTAGTGAATGGGGCTACATCTGGCTGGTGACTGGTCACCAGTGGTGTTGCTCAGGGTTCAATACTAGGGCTAGTCCTGTTCAATATATTTATCAACGATCTGGAT